TGCAGGTGGTTATGCGCTGGAGCGCCATGCTGAGCTCGGGCGAAAGGTTCATTCTGGAAGCGCGCAGAGTCCATGATTGCACCTGGAGGCCACAAGACTCTTGTGCTGGAAATTGCCAGCTCTTGTCGCACTGGCCTCATTGAATCACTGTCATGGTGCCATCATCATCAGCAGCACCAACATCAGAAGCAGCACCAAGCGCTTTATCGCCATCGTCGTCATCCTCACCCTCATCAGTAACAATCGCCACCGGCATCATGTTAATGGCGCGGTCATCATCGAAAGCTATACACTTAATGCCGCCGAGCTTCGCTTGCAAGCTTTTGGCCACGAGAAGTTAGCTTGCCGGGGCGATGTTTAGAGTCAAGACTAGAAATCTAATGCCCCAGCATGCCAAAACTACCGTGAGAATTTCGCCGAGAGGCACGTGGCCCAGTATGTCATTTGTCCACCGCATTTTAAGTACTTGTACCACTGTAACTTACCCTCGAATTTTGCTGGAGCCTTCAGTGCTGCACACAGCAAGCTCATGGGATCTCTGAAAGTCAAAAGTACAGCACTACAGCGTATGGTTTGGCAAGGCTGTGGCTGAGTCTTCATGAACTGGGACTCAACCGCCCTGCGTCGCTGTCGCTCCGTCAGCTCCTCATTCGACTGGGGCCGTGGGCCCGGGCTCTCTCTTCTGGAATTGGGCGCAACAGGGCCATGTGAGGCTTTCGGGCAGTCTGAGGAGGCCGTGTCCTGCTGGCGGAACTGCTCCTCCAGCTCGAGCGTGCGATCCATCCTTAGCCATCCATCGTAAATCCCTAATAATCTTCAGCAGCAGGCGACAAAGAGGGCAGCAATAAAAAGATTCCCTTGAAGCATCTCCGCACTCCTTCACACGAGGTGGCCAGGATTGCTTCGCAAGCGCAAGAAGCAACAACCGTCCCACTCTTCCACTCCCCTAGGCTGGGCTCCCCTGCGCTTCTTGATCCCGGAGGGCGCGCCGAGCCGCACTCCGCTTGTGACGTTCGGCCCGCACCAGTTGCTGCGCGGTGGCCTAGGATTGCCCACCAGTGACACCAGTGCCGATGAAAGTGCCGGCGAGGAGAAGGAGAAGGACCTCTTTCAACATCTCCTTCTTTTGCAGCTGCTTCTGGAGCCTCCAGAGTTTCGGGACGCAGTGGCTAACGATAGTGGAAGCTGGGCTCCCCACTCTTCCGTCGCAGCAGACTGGGCACGCTCCATCTGGGATCACCCGAAAATCACAGCCTGGTCCCGGAGCACTGTCCTGTGGCCTCCGCAAGCATGTTTGCCCGATCTTGCCGCTTCTCCACCTCCTGCGTGTCTTGCGACAAACGGAAAGAAACCGCTTTTCCGGCCAAGCCCAAGTCTGGCCTCGGCCTCACGCTGAGCTTGTGCCTGCCAAGGCATGCTGCCGCATGATCAACGACGGCTACTGCTATCGCGAGAGGCGTGATTCTCCACCTGCTTTATCTGCAAGTCCAAGGCTTGACGGTACTTGTCAGCCTTGTCCTTAGCAATTTTGCAAGAACTGGGCTTCGGGATAATGATGCTGAAATCGCTTCTCTTCGCCTGCTTCTGCCGCTTCTTCTCCTCAGATGCAGCCGAAACCAGGCATAAGAAGCCGCAGCTGCCACAAACTCTCTCTCTTCCCTGCTTGCTTGCTAGGGTCCGATGGCCTCCGCAAAATCATGTTTTTGTTTCTCTCTCTCTCTCTCTCTCCCGGGCTTGGGGGTCGATCAAGATCCCCGGGCATCAAGCCCACCCGCATGTGTTATGCGAGAAAAGCCCCTCTTTCTCTCTCTCTCTCTCTCTACATATCGACCGATTTAAGCTTCTGTTGCCAGTATGTACTTGCAAACAATGCGACCATCCGGCCCGTTCCATTCAAGTCAGGTGTCGACTTCTTCGGACACATGCTGCATGGTGTCGTACCTCAGAAGCTGCCGGCAGTACAAGGGATGTGTGTGCAGGAAGCACTGCAAAAATGGTAATGGTGCCAGCTGCACAGTTTGCACGCGAAGGACAAGCATTCCCCATCAGCTACCAACGCTACCAACCGAGGCATCTCGTAAAGAACACCTGGATGAAAGTAATCTGTGCCTGCTGCTGACATTCGCCACACGCGGCACTCCCTTCAACCCTTCAGCCGGCAGGCTCCCGCCACAGGTCGAAGCAGTCCTGCGGCTTCTGCAGAATCGGCTTGGGAAGCCTCGGTGCACAGCTGCCTCCCAGCTATCGCAAGCGAATTCCGGATGCGGACCTTAAGGCCCGTACGTGCGCAAGCCCAACTGCGGTGCGGTGGAAGACATCTGCAGATGAGCCTTGCCGTGAGGAGATAAAGGCTTCCAGGACACGGTCCAAAATGCCATGTGTGTGCCCATTGCTGTGATCGCCTTCGCTCGGGTTGATGTTGCTATGACATTATGACTGCGATGATACTCAGGTGCGTCAGGACGTGCAAGAGGTGAGGCCCTAGAGAACAACGCCTCCTTCGATGTCAAGACTTTTTTGCCTCCCGCCTGGCTAGGACGAACCTGAGGAACAGCAAAGACCAGCAACTGAAGGAGTCATCTTCAGAAGCAAAACCACGACGAGACTAGTCATTGGAGCAGTCAGTCCGGTCACTGACAGAAGCTTACAATGATAGCGATGATGATGATGATGATGATGACGACGATGACGAGAATCCAGCGGGCTCTTCACAGTGATGCTTTTTTGTTGCCAAAAAAGCTACTATTGCGTTATCTACTTCGCCGTGCGAACCTATGTTGGCACACGATACACGTGCATACAGGTTTAGTCATTCGAAACCCGTGTCAACCCCTGGCTCGAAGAATTTGGACTTCCTTTACAATGACCAGTACTGGATCCTACGGTGTCAATTAAAGCCTACTGTACATGGCGGGGGCCTCAATCTGAAAGGTCCAAACGATTGCAAGTAGGAGCCATGAGGACCCTTGACCCCTTAAATTTCAAACAAGGTGCGCCCCGTCTTTCAACGAAACTAGTAACTAGAAGTCAGTCCATGCAGGGGCACCTTGCTTGTCTGGCTGGTGCTGTGGGTCGTCAGCGGTCTCGGTCCTGATGACCCAGGTGCTCTACCTGAAGGCTGAAACGATTTTTGCAACTGCCTTTGCAGCGTTTGTGCTCTCACCACCCCGTTTCGGCATGCTTGCCTTAGGGTTTAGGTTTTTTTATGACTTCTTGCATTACTAGGTCGAACCGGTTGGTCCATCGCAACCCTTTCCTTGTCATATCCGATTTCCCTGCATGAGCACTCGTTGCAAAAGTGTCACAATGCCTTTTCAAGGTCTCCCTGGGCAAAGCCACGGTAATATGGAAGACAACCGCAGCTTCAAAATCACATCCTTTCCGTGTTTTGCCAGCTTCGACATTCAAATCACACGACCAGGGCAGTGCGTCAGACGTCAGACTGGGAAGTACCACTGCACGGACAAAGTGTTCGGGTTTTGTTTTGATAGGGTGAGACACTCGGGGCATGGCATCGGCTTCTTAGAGGCAGAAGCGGGCTCGCCTGCGCACCCCAGACTTCGAGGAAGCGACGTGGAGCGGCCCTGGCAGATCTCCGAGTCAAGAATCGGAGATTGGCGTGTATATCTACATCTACATCTACATATATAATACATACATACATAC